TTATGGATATATTGTATAGAAGTAGTTAATAATTAATTGTAATAGATGGCAGGGTGCTTACCCCAAGCATGGTTATAAAAGATTAGAAATCACCCAGATACTCAGTAATAAGAGATTGAGCAAGTAAATTACTATTATTATATTGCTAAAATAGAAAACTATACAGCTAATCATAACAGTATTCTGAAAGTGCATGGACATGCACAAATATTTGTGACATGCAATTAATTACACACATACACATACCAAAATGTTAACCAATAAGCTAACTGTGATATTTGAAAGTAATAGGATTCAAGATATTGATTTGTCCTTTTTTGCTTACCTGATTTTTTTTTTTTTTTTTTTTTTTTTTTTTAGACAGGGTTTTGCTGTGTTGTCCAGGTTGGAGTGCAGGGTTTGATCCCAAGTCATTGCAGCCCCCAACTCCCAGGCTCAAGTGATTCTTCCACCTTAGCCTCCCAAAAGTGTGATTTCTCTAAAAGTATCTGCAATGAACACATATAATGTATGTAATAAAGACATTCATTGGTTCATAAACAAAGATGTTAAGGCTATTTCTAGAGTCTATGGGTGAGGTTGCTTGGGAATAAAAAAGAAAGGGACAAATATAAGGCACAATCCAGCAAATGTGTCAGAGTTGACGGATTAGGCAATTGATTCCTGAGAAAAAGCAAATAAGAATGGGGTCACTGGGTCCGAAACGGTGGTTCATGCCTGTAGTTCTAGCATTTTTGGAGGTCAAGGCAGGAGGATTGCTCGAAACCAGGAGTTCAAGACCAGCCTGGGCAGCACAGAAAGATCTCATCTCTACCAAAAAAAAAAAATTTAGCCAGGCATGGAGTCACATGCTTATAATTCCAGCAACTCAGGAGGCTGAGGAGGGAGGATTGCCTGAGCCCAAGTGGTCAAGGCTGTAGTGAGCCATGAACATGTCACTGTTCTCCAACCTGGGCAACAGTGAGACCCTGATTCAAAAATAAAAAAAATAATAATAACTTACCAAACAGACCACTCACAGTGAGTGTTTAACATGACAAGATAATTGTTGACTTTGTTAAATTCCACTGTTGAATTTTTATGTCAGCACTTCTGGTTTATTCAAAGCATTATTATTATTTTTTTAATACACTATTAACTTGTGGAAAGAATGAGGGAAAAGTCCAAGATCTTAGATGCTTAGAAACTGACAATCAATTTCCTTAGATAAGCCATCTCTGACATGATAACTAAGTCAATTGAAAAACTCCAATCCATTTACATGAAATTGTTTTTAGAAATACAAGCCACTTTCTGGCCAGGCATGGTGGCTCATGTAATCCCAGCACTTTTGGAGACCGAGGCAAGAGGATTGCCTGAGTCCAGGGGTTTGAGACCAGTCTGGGCAACTTGGTGAGACCTAGTCTCTACAATAAATCAAAAAATTAGCCAAGTGTGGTGGTGTGCACCTGTAGTTCCAGCTCCTTTGAAGGCTCAGGCAGAAGGATAGCCTAAGCCCAGCAGGTCGAGGTTGCAGTGGCCGTGAGCATGCCACTGCACTCCAGCCTGAGTGACAGAGTGAGACTCTGACTCAAAAAAAGAAGAAAAAATAATAAACCACCTACTAATGATAATGAAGAAAACGTAAGAATAGCTAACATGTAAATTAAATACTCTGGGTCAGATAACCTCCTAAACCCCTTGTACATATTATCTCATTTAATTCTTGCAATAATTGTATGAGGTAAGAATGCTTATTATCTTACAGGTGAGAAACACGCACAGGGAAATTAAGTAGCTTGCCCAAGGTCATACAACTAGTAAGTAACAGTAACTTACTCAAAAACAACCAGTTTAAATATGGTGAAATTAAAAATTGCACCTATGAGGTGAACAAGATAGCCAACTAGCTGCCTTAGGAGAATACAAAAGATTTTTTCTTTGAAGAATTTTAAATCTAGACAAATATAAAATGTTAACTATTAATACAAGAGTTAAAAACAAATACCAGGCAATATTTTTTTTAAAAAACCTATCAAAGAATGATTTAACTTCCTTAAACTATCTGTTTAAAGAAGTTGACGCTTTCCAGTAGTATTCTATAAAAATGAGCACATGTGATAGTCAATTCCATCATGATTAAAATTATCCACAGCAGGCAGGTCGCAGTGGCTCATGCCTGTAATCCCACCCAGCACTTTGGGAGGCGAAGAAGAGAGGATTGCTTGAGCTCAGGAGTTCGAGACCAGCCTGAGCAATATGGCGAGAACTTGTCTGTACAATAAATTTAAAAAATTAACCAGGGTAGTGGTGCACACCTGTAGTTCTGGCTACCTGGAAGGCTGAGGCGGAAGGATCGCCTGAGCAGCAGATCGAGGCTGCGGTGGCTGTGAGTGTGCCACTGCACTCCAACCTGGGCGACAGAGCGAGACTCCTACTCAAAAATAAAATAAAATAAAGTTCCACATTATAAAGTTAATGATTTCTACAGGAAGTTATGCTTATATAATAGCCAAAAATATGCACATGAAGCTGAAGCGCTGACACAAAAACCAGCCACTATATTCTGGGCTAAGTGCATTTCAGGTGCTCATATGATGATCCATCTTGGCCAGAATCTCTGTTCTTACAAGGATCCATCACGGAAAGGCGCCCCCTACAGGCGGGGACTTCAGACACACGGGGAGGCAAACACAATGACAGTTACTTTCCTGACTTTTGGGTTCATGTGACCTGACGGGTGTACCTAGTTGATGGTTATAACGAGGTATCCCACAGACAGTTCAGCCGGTGGGATCCATCTTATTTTTATCTGAATTGATGAGATGGACTGATGACTTTGAAATCACTAAGAAAACCCTTTTAGAAATAGAGTGGTTTGACTCTTTGTGCCTGAAAACACCGACGGACTAACCGAACTTTTCGTTTCCGAACCAATTATTTTGGCATCTTTTAAATGCCGTCAGAAGATAAATGCTGGCCAATTTCCTTGTTTTTCATTTTTCTTGGCTTCTCTGTTGGGATGTGGGTGTAAACGTTGCTTTGTATAAAATGGAACTGGTTGGAAAAACTTCGTTTTTATGAGGGTTAGAACATAAATATCTTGCATTAGCTCTCCTCTCGGTTATGGTAAAACGTTTTCCGAGCTTTTTTAGGAGTTAGTGTCTTGTTGGCTGCTGCTAGCGTTAAAGTCACATTAACTTCTGTGACGAGTAATCCCCTCAATCTGAAGAGCTTAACCCAATGGGCTCGTATCTCTCATTCACACAAAGTCAGTCACCAGTGGGGGCCCAGGTAGGCAAGAAAAGAAAAGAAAAGAAAAGAAGAGAACATGATTGGTTGGGCAGGCAGCTTTTAGGAGCCCTGCCTGGAAGGGACACATGCCATTTTCCACTGACCAGAACTTGAACTCGTGGCTTTAAGAGTTTTGGGGAGGGAGGTGCAGAGAAGGCAAGGGGCTGGCAGACAGGGTCCCCAACTCTACACCATGGAAGGGGAATGCAAATTTTTCAGTGAAAGGGCAAGTAACCATGTCTGTCACAAGTGCACAATCCTGAGAAATTATTTGTTAGGAAGAGTGGCCTCTGATCAGGCTTTTCAAAATAAATGATTTTATTTATTTTATTTTATTTATTTATTTATTTGAGTCGAAATCTCACTCTGTCACCCAGACTAGAGTGCGGTGGCATGATCCTGGCTCACCGCAGCCTCGACCTCCTGGGTTCAGGCAATCCTTCCTCCTCAGCCTCCCGAGTAGCTGGGACTACAAGCACGCTCCACCACACCTGGCTAATGTTTTAAGTTTTCTGTAGAGATGAAGTCTTGCTATGTTGCCTAGGCTGGTCTCGAACTCTTGGGCTCAAGCAATTCTATCACCTTGGCCTCCCAAAGTGCTGGGATTACAGGCAGGAGTCAGCGTGCCTGGCCATCAAAATAAATGTGCAATGAAGCTTACATAAATTGATTAATTTCTGTAAAAGAAATTGAATCAATGTCTATTGACTGAGCACCTACTGTGTGCAAGTCTCTTGATATGCTCTGGGAAAAGTCGAGGGGAGAGGGGCTAATGCCACATGATCTGTCTCTCCATAAAGCATAAAGAAATGAACTTTTTGTGTACCCTATATGCAATCCATAAGATGAAATTTAAAACCTAATTTTACTCACAGAAAAAAGGCAAGAAGAATGCTTGTAAAAAAAAATTTTCTTTTGTCTGATTAAACATGTTCACCATAGAAAATTTTAAAAATACAAAAAGGTACCAAAAAAAGTAAATGTTCCTCCTTTTCTCACACAAAGGTAAACACTGTGGACATTTTTGCTTTTGATATTATATAGATATGCATATTTGAGAAGTTCTTTCATGTGGATAAACTTCAAGGCACTGAAGTTGAAAACATCAGTTGACCTGAATGTACATGTTTGTAATCATGAAGAAATCCTAGAAAGAATGCCAAGATAAACTGTTTTTCTTTACTGATATCTGGAACATTCGGTTCATGATTTATCATTGAGAGAGAGAAAGAGGAAGAAGAAGGATGAACAATTATATCAACTTTTAAATGTCTAACAAATAAATGAAATGAAAACATTTTGCAGCCCAAGCAAAATGCCAGCAATTTCGGTGCCAGCAACGCCCCGAAAGCCCCTGCATTTATTCCACACATAGTGTGCACAACAATCACCGGAATGTGTCCTAGGAGCAGTGGTAGAAAGGCCAGTGGGTACTAGAACTTTCTTGGGGGTAATAACTGTCCAAAGACAGTCGGGTTAAGCCAGGAGCTCTCCATCACTGGAGAACGTGGTGCAACCATCGGATGACTTCTCCTCTGGAATGCTGGACCCGGGCATTGGATGAGAGATGGAAGATGCCCTAAAATCCTTTTCCACCCAGTGTGTGCAGCTGCGCACCCATATTTGGCCAGGACACCTGTGGGAGGGGCTCTGGGGCAAACCTTGTTTGAGCTGTTTGGGATTTTACAGCCGATCCAACTGGCCCCATCAGGTCATCTCCTCCTTAGCTTGTTGTCAAGCTGACTTTCTAGCCCTGGGTAGTAAGGAGTTAAACGCATTGCTGTTGGCACCCCAGACCCAGCCAAGACTCCGGTGGGTGCAGGAGTGGAGGAAGGTGGAAAGCAGATGGAAAACCAGGCAAGAAGTTGCAGGGTGCTGAGGGAAACCCTGGGTGCCTTCTCAGAGGGTTATGAGGAGCCTGGATGCCTCGTAGACAAGGGGCCCATCACTTCTCCTTGCTGTTTGTTTGCAAGGCGCGCCCTCCTCTTCCGGGCCTCCTCCTGTCTCAGGTCTGACTTCAGCCACTGGTCCCAATCCATCTCCTTCCTTCCAATGGGGGCCATGGAGACACAGCTGGCATCGTGTGGAAGGGATCTTAAGAGAAGATGCTTCCTTGCACGTCGCTGGTTCTCAGCCAGCGACAGTCAGAGTCGTGGAACTGACTTTGAACAGAAAGAGAAACAATGACCCATCCCTTGCACCATCAGGTAGGCAAGACACCTGAGCGATCTCAGCATCTTGACTTGCCCCGCCATGGAAGTGACAGTTTCATTTGCTCCTGGTCTTTGTCCATTCCTCAGCCAACTTGCCTTAGCTGTTTTGAAAACAAAACAGAATTGGAAGATAGGTGTTCTTCTAAGTGGCTGCAGGGAAGTCCCACAGAGAAAGCAAGCGACCCCCGAGGCGACTGAAATATTTCCTGTCCTGACCAGGGTTGCGTTTTGGAGAATATTTAACAGGGAGGTTTTAATGCGTCTGAAGATGTTGAAACTAAAGAACAAATATTGACCCGAGCGCCCACAACCCTCCCGAAAGAGAGGAAAATGCGAGCTTTATAAAATGAAAAACTGCTGGGAAGAATTGTTCCAAAACCTCTGCACTCCTGGCCCTCGGGGGGGCCGAGGCGCCGCTTTGGCACGGCCGGGGCGCGGGCGCGCACGCACCAGGCGGCCTCGTGGGGCCCTCAGCGCCCCGGGGTC